TCGCATAAAACTTATAACCAACATGCTCTGTTTGCACACAGGTCAACAGTGAAAGCTCAAAGTCAACCGTCATCGAAGTCATGTTTTCTTTCACCAAATCAACTGATTTGGCAAAGCCGACACAGCATGTCAATCAGTGGTGGTTCTAGACCAACTTTAACAGAGTGAGCCCAAAGAATGAAAAACAATACAAAGCACACAGACATTAAGTGAGCCACAATTCCAAAGAGCCACATGCAGCTCTGGGGTTGCAGGTTGCAGACTCCTTACCTAACAGATGAAAACTGTTAGTCTTATTTCAATACAAATGAAGCTAAAAGTGCAACACCTTATGTATAAAAAGGGGCCAGGACTAGTTCTACACAGGCAGTGGCCCCTGTCGGCCCCTGTCTAGAACCGTCCATGTCAAGCTCCACACAAAATCCGCACACTGAAACATAGCAGCAGCAGCATGTTTTTCTTAAACTGGGACAAGGAAGCAAAGAAGATAGATGGAATAAAATACAGGGCAATTCTCAATGAAAACATTTTTAATGCTGTAAGAGACTTGGGACTGGGGAGGGGGTTCAGCTTCCAGCACGACAACAACCCTAAGCGTACAGTTAGAGATGGAATATAATGGTTAAACGGTAGTCATGTGAAAGAATGAGCCAGTCAAAAACGAAAGGTCTATTGCAGGGATCAGGAAACTTTACAGTCAAAGCTATTTTTGTGTTTAATACATCTAAATACAACAACTTTTTAACACCAAATGTTGCATGACTATTAAGGAAAAGATTACTTATTTGATAAATATATACAGTATTGTATGATCAAGAACCAATTTTATTTTTATGTTGTATAATAAAATAAATGTTTGCAAGGGGTGTTGATTTTTTTTTTAATGATTTAACAAATAGTAGATATTTTTCAATTTATTGCCACAAAATAGATCTAAAAAAAAAACAAAAAAATAAAAAAATTCTGGTACTTTTAGTGTCATTCTGTTGGGACATGCAATGCAATTATTCAATGAAAAATCTAAAAACTGCAAGAGTTTGAAGACTTAAGAGTCGTTGTAAATTACCTGCTGCTTCAGACCCCTGATATGCGGTAAGACATGAAAATTGGTGCTCATAGATGGTCTTCACTTAATGTGATCTTAAAGTATTTTGCAAGAGATGAATAAGTAACCATGTTGATGATGCAGAAAAAAAAGCTCCAAAGATTCCCAGATGTAACTATTGCAGAAAGCGGTTCTGGAAAATTATTATTTTAAGGTGACTAAAGACAAACACACACCACAATTTTTAATTATCTTCAAAACCAAATATAATCTTCTTCCTTTTTAGAATTATGTTGTTTTTTTTTTTTTTTGGGGGGGGGGTTTTGTGGGACCCAAAAAAAAGGGTGGAAATTTAAG